ATTACCTCTTTTCTTTGACCAGAAGCCCAGAGATGAAGTCTTTGGCCTCTTCGGACACCTGATCGAATGCCTCCGAGTCGAAGTCCCAGTTGCAGTTGACAATATAGTTCATGGTTTCTGCGTCACTTTCTCCCAGAAATGGAGACAGTCCGCTGAGTCTAATGAAGATAAATGAAGCCGCTCGGAGGATTATTTTATAAAATGACCATCGCTGCTTCTGCACATTTTTGGGAAAACATCAAGTTTGTTTTGATCTAAATGTGAGCCATTGATCAGGACTCCAAGATGAGCGCCAAGATCCTCTGCATTAGATACAACCATGAGGTCTGCTGGAGGACAAAGCGACCAGTTCACCTAAAGGCATGGTTCACCTTGTGCAGAAAATGTATAAATTCACCCACACCAGTGAAAGAAAAACAAATTTGCATTTTATCATTTTTCTGCATCGGAGCAAAGCATTTAGCATCAGTGGATCATGGGTGCCATGCACAGGCTCCTGCAGACTCCCAGGGCAGGAGGGAAAGGAGCAGCACCAATAGTGGTCATGTGACTGCATAGAAACAATATAAGAAAGCGTCTTTTTTTCTATTTTTAAAAGAAGGGATTGGGTACCATTCAGGCCATTGGGTAGTTGGTGTCTCTTCATCTACCTTAATTTCCTCCCTGCCCAGTTGCACACACTCATCTTTCCTTTGCCCCACCATTTTTTTTTATGGGAGAAAATACCCCCCACCCCACTTGACAGCTCCGGGCCAATCACTAAGCACCAGTGTTGTCGCATGGGTAAAAGAGAAGTACGTCTCGGAGACCCTTATGCCTTAGCAGTACTATTTCTCTTGACTCAAGGGACACCTGTATGTGCATGTGCAAGCAGAAAGTGTTGCTTATAGGGCTGGTTCACATTAAACGTCATCCTTAACATGATCAAAAACCAAAATCTTAGCCCTAACCCCCATCCCAACCTACAGGTGTAACTTTGCACTATAACCCTAAAGCTGATGGGTTTTATGGAGGAAAAAAAAGTATGAGGATGTAAACTGTACAATCACACCGATAATAATGTCGAATGTATCCCCCCCCAAAAATCAAACAATTGGCACCCAATAACAATGTGGCAAATGCTCTGCACCCAGTTGTACAGCACCCAAAGCAATGCAGCAATAGCCAACCCAATGGGTGACTCACAGCATGTAGGTAATGACCCCCACGCTCCACATATCGGTCGGGAAGGACACAAAGTCGTAATTCACCACTTCTGGGGCCAAAAACTCCGGGGTTCCGAAATGCACCTTCAGCTTCTCTCTTGGCTTGTACCTGTTAATCGACGGGAGGTATTAAAGAGACGCCAATTCTTTTTTCTTGATTTAAGTGTGTACATTTAAACAATGAGCTTCTCTGAATTGGTCCACCGTGGTCTGTAACATGTGCCGTATTATCTGGTAAATAAGTGGAAATAATAGCTGTACTGCATGCACTTTTTTCAGTGCGCACCACTGCGTTCCCACTGGGTCCTGCCAGGGCCGGTGCTAGGATTCTTGCCTACACAGGCAAGGTGCATTTTTACAAGTACTTGTCAAAATGCCCTGTTTTGCCCTCACCCTGCAGCGCCCTCAGGCGGCCACCTGACTTGCCTTGCAGTAGCGCCGGGGCTGGGTCCTGTGCTGGGGTGACTGGTGTCCATTCGTGACAAGAAAAATTGCCTCACCTTGCTTTGGGGCTGTGCTGCAAAGAACAGCCAGCGAACCCCCAACGCAACGCATATGGTGTGCATCGACCCTTACTATTCCATTCACACATGAGCGGTTTTCCAATACGCCTGGAAACATTCAAAACATGCAATGTGCATTGGTCAGAGTATTGCGGCCATGCACGGTACGAAACCAGGCGTCCCGCAAAATAGTCCGAGCGCGATTTTAAGGGAGTATTCCGCGCATTTGCGGCTATTACTACAGCGGCAAACACGCGGAGTCCGCGCACATGTTACCATTTGCGTGTTTTTGTACCGTTATGCGTGAATGGAGCCTAAGCGCTGTAAAAAAAATAATCCCATGGACCGGGGCTGATGATCGCATCTGGCAGATGGAAACAAAAAAAGCAAAAAAGGAGAAGTCGATCTACTCCCTTCTCTGATGATGTGTGCCAGTGGCGTCACGCGAGGGGGGGGGGGG